AGAGTGCCCTAAGCCTAGTCTGAGACAGGTTCTTTTTATGGGTATGTGTTAGATTTATAAGCCTCCAACTTCTGTGCTTTATAACAAGGCCATCCAGCATAAATGGCCTTATAGAGAGACAGATGCAATATTTCCTGATGGTGGGAAGCAAGGAGGCAGAGGAGGGAGAGCTGGCCTTATTATGCAAAGGAGTTATAATAAGGCTGCTTTTTACCACCGCAAGTGGCCCTTTGAAAAGATGAGTAGTGAGAAAGAGCAGGCAAAGGGCTAGATGCTCATTTATCTAATAAAACCTGATTACAAGCAACAGGTGCACTGGCATATAAACAGCCTTGGCGTCATCAAGAAATTCTGAAGAAAGCCGCATCAAATTGCAAATGATCTGACTTTCATCTAATGATAGATATTAATTATACAGGGAAGATTGCAATAGGCCCATAAAATGGGTGTTTGCATCCTCATTATTCAGTATTTCATGCCACGATGATAAAGCAATAATGACAGAATAATAAACAAGCTTTTTATTTATTTATTTGCCTCATTGAAAACTACACCTTGAAAGTCAAACCACAAAGTTCAAAGGAAGTGAGTAAAAGACGCACAAAAACGCCCGTAAGAGGTGAGCACAGGTGTCAGGGGCAAGAAGAATAAGGAAGAGAGGAACCAACAGACAAATGGGAAGACTTGCTTCTCTCCGGGATAAACAACTCCTAAAGCAGAATCAGAATTAGGACGGCAATTTTCCCTTGTAGGTGATAGCAGCACTTCGTTGATGTGTTCAAAAATGTCTGAACCTTTTGAAAGAGCAATTATTCCTTTAGTTGACCTGGCTGAGGCACGGGGTGTGGGGGGTAATATTGAGAGGCTGAGAACTCACAGGGCCCCGTGTCTTATACCCAGCAGCACCTGTTACTTTTATTATTGCTAAAGGCTCCATCAGCTCCCCAAGCCTTTAGTGGAGCACATAGCCGGGCTGTGGGAGAACAAAAGTGGGTGGAAAGGAGCTGGAAGGACTGTGATTGTGCCAGAAGAGAGGTGAGGGCAGGAAGTGGTGGGCGGAGAGGCAGGCATCACAGGGAGGAAAGCAACCCACAGCCACACGTGTGCAGAGAGACAGCAAAGATCTTTATCACGATAATTCAGAAGTCATACCTCACAAAGATCAAGGGCAGATGGGGGGAAGGATTGGGTGATGTGGGGAGAGAGGAAAGGCAAGGATTTAGGACCCGGAGTCCTAAAATTACCCAGTAAGAAGAAACTTTCCCCAAAGTACCCTGTTCTGTGTTAATGCAACATAGATTTCCATCCCCTTGCCACCCAGCAAGCCTCCTGCCTGCCTCGCCAGTAATTCTCACTGCTTTGAACCCTTCTCAGTTGATGTTTTGATAGATGCATTTTTCAAAACATCAGCGGGTCTTAATTACTTATGACTCAACTACTTTTTTGTGTGTCTTAATGGAGAGGATGAAGTAAAGTTTTTCTACCTCAAAGAAAAGTAAAGTAACTATTTACGCACTGTCTATTTTTTTTTAATACTGACTTTGGAGAAAAAAGCAAAGGAGTCATATTTGCTGTTCACCAATTATGTTATTTGCATGCAAATCCAACCGTACCTAGTTTACCTGGTTAGTAATATGAGCACGGAAAACCGAACTGGAAAAAGTAGATGGTGGATGAATGTGGAAAACCCATTAAGTTAGATCCCACTCATTCAGAAATGGTGATAGATCTTACCTGGAGAAAATTTACCTCTCATTTATCAAAAGAAATTGGTAGGCAAATTAATAATGTAAAAAGAGTTGAAGGAAACACCATTTGACCTACTAAAGCAAACAATACCTTACTTTACTCAGATGTCAAGTACGATACATGTCTCAGTCTCAAGTGGGGGAGATTACAGACTATTTCTCATGAGCACAGTCATGAAATGACCCATGGGCAGACAGACTGTTTTTATTTTAAAATTTAGATAGAATTCTTTGTTAATTTAAAAGTGTACTCTCACCTTACAGACAATATGTATGTTGCTATGTTCTGAAATTTATATTTAGCTGGTAGTTAATTTATTTCTAGATTCTAGGACACTAGATCCCCAGGAACAGAGTCACTGTGTTCACTAGACTTCCCGATTCCCTGGTCTTGGGTTAGAGGACTCAAGATTGAAAAATGTAATCATCCTCTGGAACACTGGTTTTTATATTCAGATGGAATGTTTTTCACACAAGCAGGTGTCAAGATGTTCCAGGGCGATTATCTCTCCCAAGTAGCCAGAACAACAACAAAGGGGGACAAAGAAGTGACACTGTCACTGTCCTTGCTCCATCTTTGCACCTTAAATTAAAAAAAATCCCAGATCGTTGGCAAAACTTGTCACTTATTCTTCTCTATTTAAATTCTCCTGCTGGCCTGGCTAAATTCCAGAAGATGTGTGTGAGAGTTATAAAGTACCCCTGACTACCCCAGATATGAGAATTCAAGAATGGAAGCTGAGGTCCTATCTCTTTTTGTAAAATTCTCTGTGACCCATTCACTTATGTTCATTGATTTATTTGGTCCCTGAATACTGACTAGGCCTTATTACACACAAAGTAATTAGAAAGTAAGTGATTTAAACCCTTTTCCCCTAAGGCACATATAGGGTGAAGTTTCTGGGGTTGGGGCAGCAATTTGGGCAAGCTTTGAATGGAAGCAAACATAAAACAGTGTGTGAGAAAGACAGAAAAACAGATATGCACATTTTCTATCTCTTTTTGAATGAAGAAGCAAAATTGTGCTTGGCACCCATACCTCAGTGGATAGGGCACCGGCCACATGCACCAGGGCTGGTAGATTCCAACTCAGCCAGGGCCTGCTAAAACAACAATGGCAACAATAACAACAAAATAGCCAGGCATTGTGGTGGGCACCTGTAGTCCCAGCTACTTGGGAGGCTGAGGTAAGAGAATCGCTTAAGCCCAAGAATTTGAGGTTGCTGTGAGCTGTGATGCCACAGCACTCTACCAAGGGTGACATAGTGAGACTCTGTTGGGAAGGGAAGGGGAAGGGGAAGGAAGGAAGGAAAAGGAAAGGGGAAGGGAAGGAAGAGAAGGGAAAGGAAAGGAAAGAAAAAGGAAAAGAGAAGCAGCAAAATTGAGTGGGGAGGTAGAAAAATTAATTCTCTGGGGGGAGAATTAAGCAAGGCCGTAGAGCAATGATTTTCAGCCAGTGTGTTGCAGCACACTGGTGAGAGAATATTAAGTGTGCTGTAAAAAATTTTAAAGATAATTAATCAAATTATTTTTGAAAGAAGTTCAAAGCACAATAAGTATATTCTTTTTTATTTTGTAACTTTTTTTGGATCAACGTAATTTAAGTGTCCTGTGGAAGCATAAGTATAGGGTCAAGTGTGCCGTAAGATTATAAAAAAAAAAAAAAAGGCTGAAAAACACTGCCCTAAGGGATATGGCAGTAGTTAAGGTGCATCTTCAAAACTGCATTCAGCAGAACATAACAGTGAGCTGTCCAGGTGAGAGTAACAAGATAAGCGAAGAAATTTACATGGGATACTGGGATTATAAGGTGATGTAGATACAGGGATACATGGATCTATAAATATAGATACTGGAACTATAAGGTGATATAGATACAGGGCTACATGGATCTATAGATACAAATACATAGGATTTAGATACAGGAAGAGAAATATTAGAAGGTGAATTCAGAAGAGTAGGCTATTCAAACAACAGACATTTCTCAAAAATACTCTACCAGGCATTAAGGATAAAAAGTTGGACAAAGACTGTTCTACCCATAAGGATCCCCTTAGGCCAAGAGCACTGGCATCACCTGGTTTTACCAGCCCCTAAGCTAGGGTTTAACAAAATCCCCCAGGTGATTCTGATGCACATTCAGTTTGAGAACCACTGATGTAATATGTTGTCCCAGTTTTAAGGAGCTTACAGTTTATGGGAAGAGACAAAGTAGAAAATCAGCAAATGTTGTGTAGTATAATGCTAGATGAGAGATAAGGACAGGGTATCGTGATGAGCTAAGCAAATCAGACAGGGACATGTCAAGAGGGGGAAAGAATGCAGTTGGTAAGCTATCCCCAAATGGGCCAGTGTTTTCAACTGACGATACTTGCCAATAAATAGATGGAACCAGTGATTTTTATTCATTGCCTTTATGTACCAATCACTGTTAGATCATTGTTTTACGTAATCCTTCACCACTATGTCTTTGGTTTAAGACACCATCATCTCTTGCTTGTACTGTGTAACAGCCTCAAGTGGCTGAGAAGTCCCACCCGCTTTGCTCCCCGCTAGTCTATTACACTGCAGACCAAACAGTATTTTTCCATCCACCTCCTTAAGATTGTCTTTTTTTTTTTTTTTTCTGAGGCAGAGTCTTGTTCTGTCACCCAGCTAGAGTGCCATGGCATTAGCCTAGCTCACTAGAATCACAACTCCTGGGCTTCAGCGATCCTCCCACCTCAGCCTCCCCAGTAGCTGTGACTATCAATGTGCACCACAATGCCCAGCTGATTTTTCTATTTTTAATAAAGAAGAGGTGTCATTCTTGCTCAGGCTGGTCTTGAACTCCTGAGCACAGGCAATTCTCCTGCCTCAGCCTCTCAGAGTGCTAGGACTACAGACATGTGCCACCACGCCTGGCCTGATTTTTTCTTAAATAGCTCTCTGTTGCTTCCTTCACGTGGTTGATAAAGCCCTGGTGATCCAGCCCCTGTTACATCTCCCTCCTGGCACTCCCCAGTGCTCACCCCTCAACCACACTCTCCACACTTCCTTCTACCACAGACAATTTGAGCAGTGTTGCTCCCTCTGTTTAAATATTCTTCCATTTTTCCCTTAGCTCAGGTAAGCCCTGCACGCCCCCTCAGATCTCAACTTAAATGACTTTCCACAGAGTAGCCTTGCCTGACCACTCTGAGGATGTCACATCTCCCTCTCAGAAGATTACTTGGTCACCCTTTTCTTTTCTTTTTTTTTTTTTTTTTACATATTTGTGTTCACCTTTAACAAAATGATATGCTATGAAATAACTTAGCATATCAGTCATTTAAAAGGGAAGACTGCTTTTGCATGGTGTCTGGCTGGGTCACCCTTTTCAATGTGACCTCACTGTGTGATGAATTAATGGTTTTACCCACCAATTTAACTTCCACCAGAGCCAGGGACCTCGTCTGTTTCTGTTAAACACTTTTCCCCCCTTAAAATGGTGCTGGTTCATAGTAACCAATCAATAAATATTTGTTTAATTGATCAATCTATTACTATAGAAAGTATTTCCAGACAGAAACTCCAATGATCATATTTTGACAAAACATCAGTAGCGTTACATGCTTCAGAGAGGTTTGGTGGATTAAGGGCTTAGAAATCACAATGTATTGTGTGATTAAAAGATCACCGATACTGGCTGAGCAGGAGTCAGTGACAATACCATTAAATTGGATAAGTGGTGAACAAACAAAGGCTAGAAGGTAGAGAGCCTGATTAGCTATGAAAGTGAAACAAGAATTGACAGAGAACCTCAAAAGAGGTACCAAAAGAAAAATTGACTTTCACGTAAGAGAGACTCAGGTACTTTTGTTGAAAGTAGAAAAAACAAGAAAAGAACACAAGATTGACATGGAAGAAAAAAGATACGGAATTGATAAATGAGACAGGAGAGAACAAGATTAACACCACAGGTGGAGAAAACGGCCTTAAAAAGGAAGAATAGCACATCTTGCTTCGAAACAAGAAGGAAAGCGATAGAGATGGGTAAAAACACAGGAATTCTGAGACAGAAAATACATGAACTGGGAGAGTCTCTCCCAGGATCTGGCCCTTACTCTCCTTCCAGTGTGTGCTCTTTGACGTTCCTCAGGGAGGGGATGATAGTTCACCATACAGAATTCCTTATTTTCATTTTGCCTTTATATATATTTATTTTTTCAGTCCATCTTCTTTAAAGGCCATTCTCTCTACTTGTCACGCTTGTCACCACTGCCCACCCACACGGAACCTTCTGACCCTTCATTCTTGTTTCTTAGTCACCTACTTTTCTCCATTTATGGACTTTATCAACCATGATAATGGCCCTTTCAACACTAGAGTTTAAATTTACCCCAATGAAAACCTCTGCCATCACTGTTGCATTTATTTTCATTTATTAAATATCTATGCTCTGGGCTTCAAGGTAGGGTTTGGAAATGTGAAGGTGAATAAAATATGGTCCCTGTCTTTGAAGAGCCTAAAGTCTAACACATAGGGTGATTTTTAAAATGACAAAAAAGTGATACAGAAAATACTTTATAAAGGAAGTACATAGGGCGGCATCTGTGGCTCAAAGGAGTAGGGCGCTGGCCCCATATACCTGAGGTGGCAGGTTCAAACCTGGCCCCGGCCAAAAACTGCAAAAATAAAAAATGAAAAATAAAGGAAGTACATAGACCAAAGTTAGAGTAGTAAGTGGCAAATTCAGTCTTACAAGTTTCAGGAAAGACTTCAGAGAAAGTTTAATCCTCAGGGTTTGAAGGGAGAAGCTGGGGTCAACCCAGGTTGCGGGTTAGCTGAAAGGAGGCTGTGACCTGACCACAGAATGAGGGCTCCTATGGAGACAACTCATTCCATAAATGTTTGTTGAACACCTGTGGGTGGCAGGCCTGTGCAAAGATGATATCCAACATGGACTCACTCCCCGGCTCCTGGGTGTTCTACTTTGAGCATCAGCAAAATTGTGCAGGAACTCAAGTTTATCTATGGCTACTTCCATTTCTGAATCTTTTTTCTTTCTCCCTCATGGAGCTGTTCTTCATCTCCTCAATGTCCATGGAGATTCGAGAAGTTAGGTTGGGGAAAGAAAATATAGTCGCCCAAGGTATGGCTAAATAAAAACTATTTGCCTATGTTCAGCCTGCAAAATCCATCAACCACAAAGCAAAAGAAGGAGATGGCATTCCCATTTATCTTCTTCAGAGCTCTAGACAAATAACAAATTACAATGAAGATAATATACTGGTAAGCTAAGCTAGCACTTACTGAACAATTAATTGTGTTCTAAGGTTCGTAAACAGTGTTTCAGATGCATTCTGTCTTAAGTCACACAATAATTCTATGATGGAGGAACGAGTAACTGGATTTTACAGAAAGAGAGACTAAGCCTTGTCCTGCAACTAAATAGTGCCTCAGACTTCAAGTCTGTGGCTTTCCTTCCTCCATGCAATCAGCCAAGTCCATTTTAACTGAATTTCACACATAACTTTTGTTGAAGAAAAGAAGTGGCTCAGGTGTTGATTAGAAATAGCCTTCTCTAGATGTTTCTCCACTTTAAAGATAAGAGTTTAGACGCAGGGCTCACTACTGTGGTCAAGAGGTATCTGAGTTTAGAGGGATCTCAAATCTGAGCAGCCCTCAAATAATCCCGGCTGTGTCAGCCCCAGCCGCTGTGTCAGCCCCAGTAGCTGTGTCAGCCCCAGTGGCTGTGTCAGCCCCAGCCGCTGTGCCCATCACTGGCCCTTAGAACTAACCCTTGCTCTACAGTTTCAGTCACCATCACCATAACGGACACAAGTATCCTTCTTTATTACGACTAACCACCTCAAATGGATTAAAAATGGATTTTTAATAACTATGAAAGGCCTTTTCCTGTCTGGCTCTCTGTAATGGCTGCTTTTCTCCCTCCTCAAGCAACTGCTTTACCATTCTAAAGTCATCCATTTTTTAAGACATGAGCCGTTTGGTTTATTCCACTTAATAAACACCGTGGTAGGCAGAATGGTCTCTCAAAGACGTCCACACCCTAATCCCTGGAACACGTGAATGTGGTACCCTGGGTGGCAAAAGGACTTTTGCAAATGTGATGGGCAGATTATATTTGTAAGTGAAATGGGGACACAAGATGAGCAAAGTCAGAGAGATCTGGAGACACTAGGAGGCTGGCTCTGAAAGTGGACAAAACACTTGGAAAGGCAGGCAGCTTCCAGAGCCTCCTGAAGGAACAAGACCCTGCCAACACCTCAAGGTTGGCCCAGTGGGGTGTATTTCAGACCACTGACCTCCAGAACTGGAAGATAACAAATCTGCATTCTGCTAAGCTACTAAATCTGTGGCGATTTGGTACAATGGCAATAGGAAACTAATTCAAATAGCTTTTCCTTTTCCTGTACCTGATACCTTGTCATTAGAACTACTACCTGCCCCAGAAAATGAGTTGAACAATTAAGTTACCAGTATATCAGTAGCCCCAAGTTATATGATAAATTTATAATAACTTTAAATATGAGTCCTCTATTACAGCAGTTCTCAAACATGAGAATGCATCAGAATCACCTGAAGAGGTTATTAAAACAGATTCTTAGACCCCTCTTACCCCCGACATTTAACTTAGCTGCTCTAGCACGGGACCTGAGATGTTGTATTTCTAATAATTTCCCAGTTGATGCTCATGTTGCTGGTGTGGGAACCACACTTTGAGAAGCACTGTTCTATTTGTTGCTTGGAAATTCTTTGTTGTACAACTCAAACAGATACATTGAATGTATAGGTGAATGAAGGGCTTAAGATCTAGAGTGGGTATGGGGTGGTGCTAAACTGTCAACTCAGAATGTGGAGTCTGCTGTTCACTACTTACCACCACAGCAGACACAGTACCTAGAGCAGTATTCAGTGAGTAATTCATGAATGAATCAATGTCATGATAGCAATTCTTCATTCATTCGTTCAACTCCTACTATGGACTGCACCCTGTGCCCTCGGCTCTGTCAGATGGTCTTATGGGAAGATAAAATGGAGAAACAAACAAGTAAAACAATGTCTCTCCTGAGAGAAATAAGAATAAACTAAATAAGTTATGTGGAATGTCAGAAAGTGATCACTGGGCTTGGCGCCCACAGCACAGTTGTTACGGTGCCAGCCACACAGGCTAGCAGGTTCAAACACAGCCCGGAACAGCTAAAACAATAATGACAAGTGCAACAACAACAACAAAAAAGAGCCAGGTGTTGTGGCAGGCACCTGTAGTTCCAGCTACTTGGGAGGCTGAGGCAAGAGAATTGCTTAAGCCCAAGAGTTTGAGGTTGCTGTGAGCTGTGATGACACGGCACTCTACTGTGAGGGGGACATAGTGAGACTCTGCCTCAAAAAGAAAAAAAGAAAAAAGAAAAAGGAAAGAAAGAAAGTGATCATTGCAACGAGGAAGAAAAATAAGAGAATCAGTGTTGGGGAACAGACTATAAACTTAAACACTATGATCAGAGCAGGCCCTTCCGAAATCCCCTGAAGCCCTATCAAACTCATTTATTAAGAATACGTTTGCTCTTTGTACTGCTCCACCAGAACGCCCGAGAGTGGGCCAGTTATAAGCAACAGGAATTTATTTTCTAACAGGTCAGAAGCTTGTGAAGTCCAAGATCAAAGAGCTGGCACTGATTGTCTGCTGAGGGCCTTCTTGCTGTGCCCTGACGTGGCAGAAGAGCAAAATAGCCAGCAAGCCCAACGCTGTGTGAAGCCGCCTCTTATAAGGGCCTGAATCCCAGTCACAGAGACAAACCCTTACGCCTAATCCCCTCTTAAAAGCCCCACCTCCTGATGCTGTCACTGGCAACACCAGAATCTTGGAGGAGACGCATTCACACCATAGCAATACTCCTTGAGCTCCTGGCTGCTGCAGTTCAGGCTGGGCACCAAAATACTACAAATTACAGAACCAGGAGATAGACTTGGTCCTCCAGGAGTTTACAACTGTAGGCCCAAAATAGAGGATATAATTACCTAATGTTTATCCTGCTGTACCCACCTTCCAATTACTAACAACCTCCTAGATGTAGCTGCAGAGAACACTTAAACACTCCTCCATTTTTTTCTTTATTAAATCATAACTGTGTACAGTGATGCATTTATGGGGTACAGTGTACGATTTGATATACAATGTGAAATGCTTACCTCGAACTGATTAACACATTCTTTAAGCGTATACCCAGGGGCACTGAGAAACTAGTAGAAAAACATGCATCTCTTTTCTCATCTTTGGTCTATTACTCTCCCAAGCTTTAAAAAGAAAATGTTGAGAGAGAAAACGGTAGCAACAGTTTCTTTTACATTTTTACATTTGAATATTAGTGTCTTCTTCTTT